CGCATTCTGTGAAAGTAATGAGCCGTAATTTAACCGACTTAGTAAGATATATTGACAATAACAAGTTCCGTTAGACTTACATTTTTAATAAAAATAAAATAAAACGAACAATATTAAAAGTCAACTTTATTCTTAATAAGAGACAATTTTGACCAATTCAAAAAAAAAAACAAAACCATTTTTTATGGGACATGAGACAAACGAGAAGGTGGGTCACGTTAAATAAAGTGACCCTGGCATGGTCACCTGCAACCGCCTGCAACCTTCATAGCTTCAACCGTTTTATGTGAGAACAAATGCAAAAAAAATTGGTTTCCTACATATACTTTGGACACAAACGGTATGAAAAACTCTTGGCCACACAGGTAGCTTGTGGAAGATGTAATTCTTCCGAAAATTCTACATCCGTGATGAGACTTCAAAAGAGACTATATAAACTAATCCAATGTCCATAAATATCACGAGGGTATTTCCCGAGCAATTGTCGCCCGGGCACGGCAGGAGACGCCAAGCACACCAGACCTAACTTAAAGCAAACAAAGTCCCTTTTTAGGATTTGACACTCTCCTTTTGCCTACCTTCTCGGCCACAGATCAGCCTGATCGCTTGCCTGATAGGCATGTAAGGTTTCTATGTATTAAACCATCTAATGTGAAACTATACTTTGGGAACCAGTTACTTTGCATTTTTTTAAATGTATTTAATATATAATATATGTAAATAGTACTAATATTAGTTTCCGTAAACACGTGTTTGTGTGTCGCACGTACAGAACTCATCAATGCCACTTCCGACGTCTGAGATAACCTCCTGAACTTGACATACAAACTTTCTACTCATTAGCATTAAATCATAACAGTAAACTTCCGTCTGCAAACATTGAGTTAAACGTGAATTAATATTAAATAGCGACGAAGTTAGCTAATATCTGTTTGAATAGATTTATCTGTCTATTCAAGAAATTATTATATAGTACTTCAAATACAAGGAAATATTTTGTCGACTTAGACTTCTACTAACTTGAGTATAACTATTTACTATCAAAGATAAGAACCAGCTTTGTGCCTTTCGGGCTGACTTCAAGTATTTATTTGCAAAGGCCGTAAATTATAAACAATAATTCGTTACAACTACGAAATGTATGTAACATAATATTAGAGAACTTTCTATAGTAAAACAATGCGCATAGCCTCAATGCTCTGACAACAACGTTTCTTCTATACTAGGTATGCTAATTTCTAATAGTTTAACCTATAGAACAAAGTCTAGAAAATTGGCGCTTTTAAATGGAAGGAAAGTCCATTGGCCACAGCCAGGGATCGAACCTACGACCTCAGGAATGAGAGTCGCACACTAAAGCCCTAGGTCAACACTTTAAAAACAAATACCCATCCTATAATTTCACAGCGATAAGTATTACTTAACTTCTTATATACAATACAGGTAATGTATAGTCAAGCCAAACGCGGATATCATCGATGCCCTAGAAAGTGTCCACAAATCATTCAAAGAATTGCTAAAAAGCAAACAAGAAGTTTGAATGGACAAAAGCTTCGATGTCGTAATGCAATTTCTACTTTGATACGCGTGAGAGTTGATAACAATAGGCAAAAAGGTACAGACATTGTCACGAGCGTGATTACAGGAAAAACTACTTCAAATCGGGACATCGTATGTTGTATAATACGTGGGTATAGTCGGTGTACTTGACTCAAAGGTAGAGGTTAAAGTTTTGTAGTCCGAGAAAGCACTGCGTCACGAATCGCATGAGTACTTGTAGACGACCAAATAGGTGAAATTACACTCTTCATTGAGCGCATTCTGCACTGGAGAATGCAAGTCAATAAGCAACTCCGAGTGTCTACAATGTTTGAAACTCTACCTAAGAATTTAAGATGCATTCATGGGTCAATGTATAATGAAAATACCCTAAATGTGAAGAGTATTTTTGGCCTAATTTGTAACGCAATTAAATCTGATTCTTCGAGTTTGAACTTGTCCCAAATGTGATGCGATATGAGCCGAAGACTAATTATTTTCGGAAGCACATAAACTGATCACGTTCTCAAGTTTGACATTTAAAAATGTAAAACGTTGGTCTTAAATCCAGATTTAGTATGTAAGATAAGAAACTTTTAAATCGTTAGATGAAGGTAATACGGTAATACAATAATCAAAATAAACCCGAGCGAATATTTTCATTTTCTCCGATCACTTTCTCGTACAAAACATGCGTGTACAATGATTAATCTCCAACCTGAACAACTGACTAAATCGTGTAATGAACACGAAATGAACAACACCAGACAGTGAGACTATGTTTTGGGATGAATTTATAACCTTCGACATAATAATACGAGATAAGTTAAGTGAACTTATTCTTCCGTTACTTAGTTACCACTATCTAAGTTACAATCTAAGTTCCGAACTCCGCTATGAATTTGATGTTTAAGTTATAGCAGACTGTATTATCACTGCGATTCATTAATTATATTACAAATAAACACAGTTTTTATAAACCCTAACACTCATTTGATTAATCTAAATGACTCGAAAATATATTCAACTTAATTTGTTATAAAAGTAAATTAGGTTCTATTTCCTACTATGTAAATATAAACTTTTTCGATAAAAATTAATATGGTAATAGATTTAAAAATATTTAAAAAACAAGATTGTGAATTGCTAATTATGTATTTGGACATAAAAACCGCCAGCGAAGTCACGTGTTTTAGGAATCTTGGAATCTTTATATATACAACTACAAGTCGTTTTATAGGCATTTTACTTGCACCACCCGTGGTCAAAAATTAATCTTCTAAACCATAAACAAAAATCTAAACCGAAAAACTGGTTTAATAAAGTATTTTTATATACACTTCTACATAATTCAATCTAGTAATATGTGGTCTATATTAGTAACTCTATTACAATTGATCTGTCGAATTGAAATATATCAACTATGATAGCTGTCTAATTTTAATATTATACTTACATTTGTCCGCGATAATAACCAAAATAACGTAAATGAAGACGATTATACCAAAGTTCTCTCGTATAAAACGATTTTATTTCAACCAATTCCGAGAACAAATCAACGCAATCATCAACAAATAAATAAAACATCGAATAATTATCTTATTTGGTAACGCGTGTTATTCCGAAGATATAACAATTGCCACGACAAAAGGCATCCAGATCAACGTCCTAGCGTTATGTCATTGAAATTGAGCTAAAAAGTGATTTATTCTTTGTATAATGATGTCGTCACGGAGATATAGAGATAGTGAGACACGCAATACAATTACATGTCTCACATACGAATGCACGGAATGTAGGGTTGGCAACGGAGCTATGAAAATTTGTTCTTAGGTGTTAGAAATAATCTCTGACATTTGTATCAAGACAAAAACGGCTATGAAAAGCATAATATATCTAGACCAGGGCTGTTATAATTACTGTCTAATCCAGAATGAGCAGTGTTGGATTAGTGGCTTCAGCGAGCGATTCTCATCCTTGAGGTTGTAGTACACCAGTGGACTTTCTGTCTATGTGTATTTAGTACTCGCTTTAACGGTGAAGGAAAAAATTGTGAGGACCCAAGACTAGACCCATACGGTGCTGATACACCGTGCAAAGAAGGCTGATGCCTATTAAAATAGCAAATGAACACAGATACAGAAATCTGAGGCCCAGACCAAGAAGTAGCAGCATTTTTTTAAATATTTTATCCAGCTGTCATCAGCTAATGGTGTCCCATACATTTTGATTTTTATTAACTGGACTTATTCAAATTTTTAAAAAAATTTGGCTAATTATATAGATATAACGTCTCTATTATATATATTTACTGTCGGAATTATATTTTGTTTGAAATGCTAGCCCTATATCGTATACAATGTAGTAAAGCATTTTTATCAAATTAAAGTTCCAAATTTAGTGAAAGCTGACTAAATTCCCAGAGAATTTTGAACAAATAGAAGATTTCTCTCAAATAATGATATCGCAAGTTATTGTAACAAAATTTATAAAAATGTTATTGCCGAGGTGATTTTCTTTTATGAGGTACTAGCCGTTTCCCGCCCGCTTCGCTGGGCGAATTAAAATAGGAAATAAATACAATTTTATGTTTAATTATTATTCTTTTTTTCATATTTTTATTATTCTTCTTTTTAACTTCCCGCTAAGAAAATTGAACATTTTCGAAAATCGAGGTTTTAACAGTGATGTTGACGTTTTGAGGTTCTAGGAAGCCTCCCCGAATGTTTCCGCGGTGAAGTCCGTATGGATAAATTTTCATAAAAGTAAAACAGCAATAAAAAAATCAAGGAACGTTGGAATTTAATTTTATTTAATTTTTCGCATCGAATGGCAGTAGTTTCATGTCGATACGATCAGTGGTTTAGGCGTAAAGGAGCCTCAAACGAAGACCATTTTTCTTATATTATATATATATAGATTTGTTTAAAATAATGTAGGAAATATTTACCAAGGATTTTATATTGGTGACGTAGGCCAACAACAAGGTAATTAAAACTAATTTAATAATTTATATACAACTGTGTTAAATAATTTTATTATCGGTTAATATGTTATATTCAAATCACAAGATTATTTCAATACGATAAAACCTAACATGTTTAAAAAAAACACTTCGTTAATGTTAGTAAAAATAAATAAAAAATCTTCACGTCAATAATAGCTTGTTTAATAGCCATTTTAATTAGTCGTTTCACCCTTTGTACATCGTCGCAAGACACGCTTTGGCTATCACTTATCAACGAGTTCAATCTTATTCCAATTATAAATATCGGGTCGTTAAAGAGGACTAGCTAAAAGATTTCCCTGGCATCTCTATCTCTCTATCTCATATGTGTATATCAATTTATACAGCAAGATCGTAGGTTTCCAAAGTCAAATACGCCCATAGTTTTCCATACAAAAATTTCGTTACCATTCTATAACTCCACCTATTCGATGTTAAAAATACATGTACTTACGTAATCCGCCAAACTCTTCATGCCATACGGGAAACGTTCTCTGTCCGGCACCAATCGGCCACGAGGGTCCCTTTCCCTCTCAGGCCAGCAGTCATCCACATTAATATATTCGTAACCAGCTGCTGCGTAGCCCTCGGAGACCAGGATATCAGTCATCGTTCGGAACAGGCGGTCGCTGGAAGATTAAGCTCGATAAGACACAATAAGAGAAATCTCAAATTTCATTGAAAGGTTTTGGATATAATGTTATTCGTTAGATATTTTAAAGCTAATATTGTTTGTTAAAAATTGAAAATATTTTTTTATAAATAATATTTATTACGGCCTATTAGTGGACCGTGACTAGAAGAATCTTTGATTCGTTTAAAACTTGCAATCCGGGAGTACTGACGGGCTACTATAGAAGTACGTAGCAAATTTTGTAAATCAAATTGATTATATATTACGAATTTCATTTAATAGTCTCACCTTATACAATTATCAGGATCATTCTTGCAGTCGGTGTTACACCTGAAGCGTTCCCACGCGAGCCATCCCATCGGCGGAGTCAAAGCCAAACCATTGTCCAAGCCCAAAATTTGCCCCAAAACACACAACACGCCAACGGCCGTCCACACACATGATTTCATTGATGCCATTATCAAATATAAAAAGAAGCCTTCAGCCTCAGTACGACGTATTCACTCAGATGTCAGCAGCCAAATGGCATTCTGGTCCAGATAAATGATCTGTAACAAAGGATTGTTTATTATTAATTGGCCTCTGTACATCCTTACTTTAGACATTTCCGCTGAGTAACAGATAATGTCAAGTTTACGTCAACTTAGACGATAGATATGCCATGAACCTATTTGATCTGTTGACAGTGACATCACAACTTATTTTCGATTAAAACATTGTTTATGTCTAGAGAAATCCATAGAGAAACGTATGTATTAAAACTGTTTTTTTTTATTGTTAATTTTTCATTGCTTGTTTATGCTACTCAGTTTAAATTATTTCTTTACGAGATTTATGAAAAATATTTTTTTTCAAGGAACACAATCCTATCTATTCTAGGTGATCCTAAAACAACAAAAATGCAAATCTAAGAAAAATCTTATTTAATAGAACTGTTTTAAGTGAGACACACGAAATAATCAAACATATATATTAATTAGGAAATACTACGGAACGGAATATATAATAATATATATGATTATATATATTATATAGTGTATATGATTCTTAAAAATGTACAAGCAGTATGGGCGAAAAGAAAAAAAAAGAAAAATGTACAAAGTCAAACAGCGATGACTTCAGTGATCTAAAATAAATACGTGATCTTGTTACCCAAGCAAACCCCTTTTTTAATTTAAAATCCTGTTTGCAATAAAATAATATGCAACGAAATGAATAATCAAGGCATCATAATAGACTAAATTATTCTTAAGAATATAATTAATTATTGTTATCAACGTTATAGTCAAGATTATGAACTTATAATATTAATGCGTCAAAGTCATATTCGGTTGGTTTATACGTTCGATCTTGCAACCCCAAAATGGGCTTTAGAGGCCAACTTTATCTGCAGGAATTAAAAGATGTTTTTTTTATTAATAAAAAGCTTGCCAACGCTCGGCACACTGATAAATTGGTAAAAGAACCACAAAATACAATGTTTAATGTGAAAAGCACTTAAAGGCAATCATACAAATATTAATCAAAACAATTATTAAACAAAACAAAGATTTAAAAAAAACTATCGATTTTATAGTGTGAGGGGAGCAACTATGGATATCCAGACCTAGTTCGTTTTCTATAAAATTTGTATAAAAATAATAGCCGAGCGTTTGGAAAACTAGAAAATAGGATAAATTAAAAATATCATACAAGAATAACTGCAACCGGAAACATAAATAAATCGACATAATCAGAAGCGATTGAATCATGTCACAATTCAAATGGTATATAATAGACATTGAAATAATTATGATAATTTTATAACTGTATTAGTGCTAATCGATTTTTTTTTAATGAAATATGATCGATTAGTTATGTCACAATTTATAAGTGGTGACTGTGTGATCGCATTTAAGAGAGTAGTATGGAATAATCCCGTATTCCAGACTAACTTCCCTAAAATTAATATTTATCTAGAGTTCACATTTGTCTTTTTCTCTAGACTTGTGTTTACGCTGTGATGAAAAGTGATAGATAGACGACACCTAGGAAAGGGATAGTTATTACTTAGTGGTATTAAAGAAATGTTATCACGAAATCCGATAAGGAGCAGCCTAGTGGATTCGGCGTGCTACGTTCATCCTAGAGGTCGTAGGTTCAATAACCGGCTGCACCAATGGACTTTCTGTCTATGTACGCATTTAATACTCGCTCGTGCGGTGAAGGGAAACATCGTGTGGAAACCGGCATGCTTAAAACTCAAAAAGTCGACCGCGTGTGTCAGGCACAGTAGGCTGATCACCTACTTGCCTAGTAATACAAAACAAATGATCATGTAACAAATACGGAAGTCCAGGTTTTATTAATACTGATTCTGCCAAATATTAATCATCTATAGCCGTACTGCACTGTAACTCGAGATTTAAATGGATTAAAATTCTTATAAATGAGACTAGAACAGTTAAGAAGTTTTTTTAAAGTCGTTTTATTATTTAAAAATGAACAAATGCGAGTTATAGACTTTGTATTCGTGATTCACCTGTACTCAACTGTTGCTAAAGAAATAATCTCAGTTTGAACAATTATATAAAGGAAAAACTCTGAATAGGTTTTTTATTGAAAGTAATTTGTTTTAATAAGCGCGTGCAGACTTGAGACGTTTTTAATACTGATAAAATCAGAAAAAATCTTATAACAATGATGCTTGTACTAACTACTAGTAAACGTTCGTCTGATCCGGATTTGATTCCCGGCGATAACATTTTTAGTAATTGTGGACGTCTAAGATAATATTTATTTAAAAAAAAATTGTGATGGTGGACCATGAATTGCTCACAATTTCTTCGTCTACCGAAGCGAATTCATTAGTTGACATTACAATAATAGGTCAATTTGTCGAATCACGGCTAAAACAGCTCCAAATTTGTTTTATCGTTCTTTACGACTTGTATGTAGTAGCAATAATATAAAACCAATGTAATAAGGAGGTTTTGGCTTTGAACCCTTAAAAAAAATTACAAAACTGATAATCATTTACATGCATGCATTACTGACACAATATAATTTACATCATGCATGTATGAATGAATGAATGAATGAATGAATGAATTGAACTACATTAGGTTAGGTTACATTATTGCATGGTACACAAAAAAATTTGGAGCTGTTTTAAGGTGGAAATTTACCCAATAATATAATCTTAATATATTATAAATCTCGTGTCACAATGTTTGTCCTCAATGTACTCCTAAACTACCGAACCGTATCTCAAATTTGCACCCATGTGCAGTTCGTCCAACTTGAGAGTTGATAGTTTAATCTCAAATTATAGTCGCAATTTTAATTTTTGCAAAATATTTGTTTATTATTTGATAAAATTCTACAGTGGCGCTGTGTTAAAATTATCAACGTTTCCTGCTGTCTCCCTTTCCATAGTTCTCCTCCGTTTCCCTTGAATGTTTCTCTTGTATTACAAATCTTAGCCAGAGCAACGCTTGGCCGAGTCTACTAGTATATTATAGTAAAAAGACTAATCAAATAAAAAGAGAAGAAAATATACAAAGCTTAATAATTGGTGTACAGTGTTATTTCTAATGACAGTAGGAACATGTCTTTAAAGATGACTTTATGTTTGTACAAATTGAGAAATATAAAATAAAAGAAACAAATTTTAATATACTGAATATTTAGGAGATGTTCGTTGCGTCCTTTTCTGAAGGTAGTCAAAAATTTTCAGATGAACGAATTGTTTTTATTATAATTATATATTATTAACTTGCGACAGTGTGAAAGAAATTCCTAAGCTCCTGCCTGACGCAATAGACTGGTTCAGTTTGATTAATGTTAGGAAACTACGATCTTCTCGGGTTACGCTTCACAAACTTAATCTATGCTTGATATTATTAGTGTTAGTTAATAAAAATTTAAGTAAATTTAAACCAAATTAAAATTTAAGTCTTATTTCTTTCGACATAATAACAGAAACATTAAGTTTTACTCTCTCTCTGACGCTTAAAAGTTTAAAGTACAACCTTTAGCGCTTTACAAGCGCGAATCAAAATTTCTGGATTTGAATTAAATCGTTGGTTCTAATATAGAAGGCTCCCCCAGTTGTTTATATTTGTATAAAAATTAATTAAGAGAAAACCCGGCACACCGAGGCTGCGTTGGTGGGATGGAGTTGTCAAGGACTTCGAAACAATAGGGGTTCGGAGTTGGACGCGGGAAGCACTGGATAGATTGCGATTTTGAAGTGAACTTGAGGAGGCGAAGAATGTATTCAAATTCAAATTCAAAAATCATTTATTCACGTAGGTAACACAATGTACACTTGTGATTCGTCATTAAAGAAATAAATATTATGCTTCTATTTTCCTGCCAGTTCTCAAATCAAGGGCGTAGAACGGAAGGAAGAATGGCAATAAACTCTCCGCCACTCTTTTTAATCGCCATGTTTTCACGCCCACCACTACACCTTGTTCCACTTAGTAATTAATAATAATAACATAAATAAAAACAAAGACTTGTCCCCTATCAGCAGGAGGCATGGTGAAATAGGAGCCGCCTTACTTCTCGTGGGAACAACACGCAAACACATAGTCGAAATAATTAACATCCCGCATACACGAATTCAAGTACGACCAGTCACCACAAGTAGCACCCTTCACGAGTATGACGCATGGCCAGCCATCGGCCCCCTCGCCATATTTTAGGGAGAGAGACAACCCGACGCTGGCGCCGCCACAGCATGCTTTGCGGCATGACGATCCTTGAAATGTGGCTTGGCTTTGATGATGATAATGAAAAATTAAGGCAACACTTAAAACAACTCAAGATTTACTAACTGATTGTTTAACATAAGACAGTGTCCAATAACACTACTTAGTTTTTATGAACGGGAAGATACTCTGTTCTTGTGGTCTATTTTTTCACTTACCACGAGTTATGTAACCCAACTTCAGTTAAGTTACGTATCAATATTTTAGTTACTAATTAGAAGCGTAAACAAAATGTGTTTATCACACTTGAAGCGAATATGAGCCCTTTAGTTTTTACACTTATAAATTGTATTTTAACATTCTCGGTTCCGATAATGTCCAATAACATAAGTGTCATTTAGATTTATGAACCCTTAGATGCGCCAATTGTATTTGTGTTAGTTATAAGCTCATATTTGACACCATTAAAGTCAGTTACCATAAAACAAAGAGTTTTATTTAAACGTATCCATACAACAACCTAAGACTAACGTGAATTAACACATTAATCAATAATAATAATAATAGCCCTTAAAAGTTCAGCACCTTTATAAAAATCTAACTAAATTATTTCAATGTAGTTTTTATTGCTACGCTAATTATGTATTATAATCAAAAACCCAAGTCAGTTTTGTCGGATATGTCAGATAAAAACGCTGTAATTGGAAAAACCTGTCTATCCGAAATGATTTGTACAATTACAATAATTTCAGAACTAT